GTTTAAGGAATGGAACAAGGCACCTGGCAGACATTTCTGAAAGCATAAAAATCTCTCCACCCTTCCTGTACAATGCTAAAATTAATCGGAATCTCCAAAGTAGCGTGACAATCCTAAAATATGCGGCAAGTAGCCAGACCAAGAGAATGCGTTTGGAGTATAACGGGTGCCAAGAAACGATCTCATTGAAACCCAGCCACGAGGGGGGGTTATAGGGTTATACAGGGCTATCACAGGTGAAATGAGGGTTTACACCCCAACCACAAGGAAGGGGTGGGGGGTTACAGGGCTATCACAGATGAACAATAATGATTTACAAGGCTGTTATATGTGAATATGATAAAGGGGTTAGGCAGGGTGTCACAGATGAATTGATCTCACAGGAAGTAAGCTCTTCTGTAAATTAAACGTAATGCAGAGCACATGTGAAAGCCCGAGACCTAAAACAATAAAGTGAAAAAAGGTGAAAGCCGCCATGAGCTTCGTAGGGGTTTATTTTAGCATATCCCCCCTCTCCATAAATCACCTAATCTCTGATGTAACATGGAAGATGCTGTAGTCCTTATCTCCGTGTAGATTGTCAAACCAGGAACCGAGAGAAACTCGTATCAGAAAAACTTCAAAATCTTCAAAATTATTACAAAAAATCTTTATGATTTAGGGTTCAGTCAGTTTAAGAGCACCCCTCATCGAATAAATACACCAATAAAGAAATACAAGATAGAAACCTCAGGAAAATGTAATCAGATGATTTGCACCTAACAATATTTCAGTGATGATTTAGAGCGATGTACCAAGTTTGATGCAATTTGATAACGAGGAGAGGTAGAAGAAAAATGCATTAAATTTGAAAAAAATTGCTCTGCCTCCACTTATCTCTCCCACTTTTTCTCTCATCTGTTTGTTTTCCCTGATCAAAATGCCATGAATTACCTCTTTAAAAATAACAAACAGAATGTCTTTTCTCTGTTGAATTATCTGTGGCGGTGTTTTATTCCCTGGATAACACCTCATCCTCCTCAATTTATTCCCGCAGACCTATGTCGATTTCAGTCAAGCATGTTGGAATCCCCTTACTGACTGCAACCTTAGAGCAAGAGTCTCTCCATATATTTCCTCTGACTTTTTTTTTAACTATCTAAAAATCCATATGTTAAAATTATCTTGTATCGTTAAGTGAAAATGATCAAATAATTTCTAGACTTATTTGAAAGGACATAAGGTATGCAAATTTTCAGGACATCAAAACCTTGTTAGACTCATGAGAAAGTGAACTTAATTTAATTAACTCACTCGCTGTATTTTTATTATTAAGTATTTAATAATGTCTGAGCTTGTGTCACATTGAGAGGATATCTTTATATAGCCCGACTCCTTTCAGTCCCGCCCTGCTCTTGGTCTGCGGAGATTTCTCAGACAGTACAACAGACAAACACCTCGTAACTCTGAGCAGTAGAGGGGTCTCTGTGTTAATTTATCACGGCGACCCGAGCGGGAAGAGTCCATGTCTTGAGCACTCTCTTCCTTGGGTTAAGTTCTCACAAGAATACAAAAACCCGACCAGAAACTATCTTTGTTCTCCTTCGATCTTGATCATCAGATGTTTTCAAGGTCATTTGGCTCGCACTCATGGATAATTCAATAAAGGCCGGGTTTTATGCATATTTAACAACAAGTTAAGACATTGCGTGATTGAGCCTCCCTCGGTTCATTCAACCCTCGGATGGAGTTACGGCCCTTTACACGAAGCCAACAGGTGTACGCTGTCTACCTGGAATACGCAGCATTTCGTTGATCGGCTAAGTTATGATGTACAGTCATGTCACACAATAGGCCAACAAAATGAAAAAGAAACATTAGCCACAATATTTCACGGGTGAAAGATTCAAAGAAACCCTCTCAAGTACACAATCAATTAATAATCGAGTTCCTTTATTCCAGTCTGAATGCACCTTTGATTTGTTGGGATGTTAAATTCAATGAATAAGCAAATACAGTTACTGAGTATGCATTCATATAACTACTTTCATTTTTTTCTCTCTCTCTGATAAAGGCCTATACATCTGTCTTTTATCCGTTGTTATCGGTAGATTGTAATTTCTTACATTTTTAACATAAAGAATAACAGATGGTAACATGTTGAACTAAGAATCGCTATTTCTGTAAAAGATTGAAGTGAAATTTTTGGGGGGTGATCCACCAGTTCTAACACAGACCCTCCCTATTTATAGAACATTTACTTATTGTTTCACATATATATTTTTTTTAAGGTCTACATATTCTTAGATTAATATGGTTTAAACATGAATGGCTGATATTTCCCACAAGGTTTACTTTGGGATTATTGGATAAGCTTGGTCTCCTAGATAAACATCACTTTATCACATTGTTCATAGCTTTTCTATGTTATTTTTTCTTTCTTCATTAAAGCCCAAACATCCATATTGGAAAACATATAAAAAGACTTCACCCATGGCTAGATGCATCATTAAGATATCTAATGACATTTCCTTATTTACAAATAAAAATCTCACTACAGAAATTGATTTGCCATGGACAAGTTTGTAGTTTTTCCGACTCTATAGTGACTCTTCTCACCATTCAGTTCCCCTTTGTCTGTTGGTCTGTCTATCTGTCTTTCAGACAACTCCTTTGTTATGATGTTGACTCAATTAAAGACACACGAACCCTCAATCAACTACTTAGCATTATCTGGCCCATTCTTCGGGTGTTTACTTTGTTACACTGTTCAACTATTATCAGATCTCTAAATATTTCCTCCAATAGTCTTTTAATCTACCGTTAAATGCTAAGAAGTCTATCGCACCTCCTCCTTTTACCTTGGAATAAGGGGAAAAGTGTATTGTGTTCCCAAATTGATAAATTCAATCTGCATTCCATATCGGCAGTGTGTTATCAGATTGGAAGAACCAATACACTGCTTTTATTTTCCCACGGTCTGCTCGGCTATTTATATACCTGATGATACATACCTAAGTTTCTCCTGTCAGCTGCTTGTGTTTTCTGGAGGTAGAGGCTGCTCTTGTGTTTGTCGGAGATTCACGGAATTAGCAGATAGTGTCTCGGGGATTCTAATTAGCGAGATTAATTACTAGGTTTCTATCAACAGGTAATGATCTTAATTATCAATTTCAATCAACGAGTAATGGCCTCTTAACCGAAAATTTTTTTTCTTTAAATGTTTCGCTGCTAAAGGTTAACCTCTTTGAAGTTAAGACAAAAACGTTTTCATTTAGTGGACGAAAATCAGATAAATATATAGACTGAAGTTTTTAAAATTGATTTTGATTTCCAATCTTCTTCTAATGTCATTGAAATCTAAATTCTATCCTTTTAACTTCTAAACACTTACACTTGATGAGTTAGTGATAAATTTAATGGGGGATAAGACTTCATTTATAAACTCCCACAACTCATTTAACTTACTCCCTGACAAATCATCATCTAAAGAAAAGAGAAAATCGGAAATTAACAAAATAATCGCAAATGATCAGACCAAAAGATTAAAAGGTTTAAAATCAGAAAGTTATTAGCTGATTGAAATAATTTTTTGGATACATGTATTCCTATCTGATTTAATGAATTTCAGGATTTTTTTGGGGGGACTGAAGGAATTTATGGATATGAACAGTCTCTTTTTTTGGTTTGTTTGTTGAGTTTTCTTTAACACTTTACAGTCAGATTCTTAAAATACTCAATATAAGGTCTAGTTACTAAGGTTATATCACAAACTAATATTAATAAAAAGCTGAAGGAGCAGGGATAGGGGGTGGGGGGCTCTCGGGAGAAATCTGACATTAAAGGGGAGATAACTAGAGAGTCCAGGTGACAGAGAGACAGACACATTCCTCCGCTATCTCCGGAGTTTACACCTGAGTGTCATCACAAAAACATTTCGATCCTAAAACAAACAGCTCCCAGCAGGACAGGGCAGTCCCAGACCGACAAAGTGGAAAGTTTGTCATTCTGAGGGGGAGGCTCTCAATCAATGGCCGCGATAGAAAAACGGAAACATATACCCGGTCTCCAACCAGCCCTTCCCAGACCTATCACTGGAGCTCCCTCAGCCAATCACCTGAAATCTTCTTTGTCAGCATGACTCGTTAACATTTGGAGGTACTTGAATTATTGACTATATGTTGATGGGAGTCTCATTCAGATGATCAAATTTACATGTAACAGGCCACATTAAATATTATATATTCCACTGCCACCTCCGATATTCCTGTTCTCCATTCAGTAGGAACAAAAGCCGTGTGTAATTTCCTGCCCGTATCGAGTGACCTTTGTTAGCGTTACTGACGGGTAACAATAGGACCCGCTCCCACAGCCGGGTCATGTGACTACCAGCAGCAGGTTCATCAGCATGTGAAGGAATCAACCCCCCACACACAAAACACAAACTGTTGCTCAGGGACAGTCCCTTATAACCATCAATCCTCCCCGCTATATTGTGATCAAAGGGCACCTGTCTGCCCTGCAAGATAACTGCTACGTAAGGAGTCTTACTGGTGAGGACTTTTTTTCTTGTGGTTTCAGCTTGTTTGGGGACCGCTTGGTAAAGTTATCCTATGTGCATTCTCTTCTTTTTCATTTTTATCCCCTTATTTATAAATCTCAGGGATGGGTTACTTTGAGGAAAAGTTGGGTAGAATTTATTACTTGGATGCTTCAAATTGTATGTGCACTTATGGCGGACTTCATATTTTAGCGGCTTAGGAGTGGACGACAATGCATTCATTTATGAATAACACTAAGAATTCATTTAGAAATATACTCTGTGGCATGGACATATTATTTAGCAATAATTCATGATGATGCAAACAACTCGATACCCAGTAATTGCACTATATTTTAAACATGTCAATGTAGACATATTTTTGCATTGACATTAAAAATATCTGGAAGCTGCGTATTTGATAACTTACCCATGATGCTTATAGTCACGAGATCTCGGTCTAGTTCTCATCCCTAGTTCTCTGCCCTCATCTTTGCGAGATCTGTCACATAGAATTCTCTTGAAGAGTCCGACTGTTTAATTCAGTGGAGGACAATTTTCTCCATAATGGGACACGCTCCGGGAAATCACACCATCATTACTCTCAAACTTTATTCTTCCACAACCTTAATAATGAGAATAACATCATTTTTAATTATTGATATTTTCTTTTGACAACCATATAGTTATATTCTGTCGGTGCCATAGTTTTCTCCACTATACAAATTTATTTTAGTTACAAAGATTGTTTTTTGTAAAGCATAATAATTAACAGAAGTGTTTTATAATTTCAGGTTTGATGCATCATGTAGCTTTTGGAGTAGGTCACATTTTAAAGTAAGTAAAATATATACCATTAGTTAATAGGAAGGTTTAATTATTATATATTGTAGTCCAAAATTACTGGTACTTAATCTACTTATTCAATTATCTGTGTGTCATTCCAATGTTTGTAATTAGGACAATACTAACATAATTCTAGTCATAAATTTAATTTTCCTAATTGAATCAAGGCAATTATTTTGGTGGAAATTCATGGAAATGATCCTCCACCCCTCCCCCTGTGACTTTTCCCCAGACAGAAGAACACATCTCCCCCTCATTTGAAGATTTCTGTGACAGATTCACACTTCTCTTGAGAGACCCCCTTTGACCTTGACCTCTGATCTAAAACCATCTGGCATGACAAAATCTGATTGGTCCATTGCAAGGACAGCTGTATTTCCCTTATTTGCATACATTATGATGAATGAGATCAATAGAAAATACACTGATCTATATCTTAGAAAAATTAATATGCAAAGCCTGATTTACAATGCAATGTGGCTTTATTAGACTGACATTATCGAATTACGATCGCAAGAAATTCTTTATACCAAAGTTTGAAAAAAAGATGCGATAATAGGATGTGGATCATATAATTACTGCAAATTTGTAATGAAGTCTTAATTCAATTAATATTAGTAATTCTAAACACACTCTGAACATACATTGTCATAGGCTTAATTTCCAAAATGCTTTCTTTAAAAAAAATAAAATACATATAAAAAAAAAAAAAAAAAGCAGAGAAGTGACATGGGAACCTTTTTCTGACAAAAATCATGGATTTGTGAAGCTTTTTCCGCAGTGTGCAAATCAAGACAGCTCAAGTAATGGTCGTATTTAGACATTTCTGCTTATCATCCCCAATTTTCTCTCCCAATTTATAAAGCGCTTTCTCTAAGGGTGTTGACACAATTGATCGAACTCAATGAAATCAAACTGCAGAGACACAGTGAAAAAGAGCTCCACTATGGATGGGTCATATTAAGACGGTGTCTTTCATCTGATGATTTCATTTCCCTTCCCTGGAGCCACGCAGAATAATAGCGAAAGAATTACGATGTTTCCACATCATCCTTTCATCCTATTCATCATTTAATGTCAATTTGCACATGACCATGAACGAAATTACTCTTTCTCCCTTTCTTAAATCTTAATATTATAGCCATCGAGTTAGGTACTAGAACTATAAAGAAATATGCATAAGAGAGAAATTAGAACTCGTTTAATTAAGTTGTTTTAATTCTGCATCTTTTAATGTCGTACTTCAATGTAATGTCAGGAAATGGAGAGAATTTTGATACGGAGGAGAAAAACAGGTCAAATACCTGTAAAATCAATAATTATAGCTGTAAATATCCACAGGTGGAGTCCTAAAACATTCATTATGTATGTGTTTTAAGGGATAGTGCTGTTATACAGAGTCTATGGACTCATCTCACCACGGCCATCATAGGAGCGTTATAATATAGCCAGGACATGGGGTGGTCACATGAATGCAACATCCAGTTAAGGTTTTGCTTAAACCCCCCCATCCCCCACCAACCCGATTAATTCTCCTGACTCCTTGTTCATTCTGCCTTCTTGTTTAATACCCCATTATTCTTGCATCCATTTTTATATAATATATTACATTTATATTGATACAGAATTTATATATTCTATTGTGTTCACAATTTTCAAAGACAAAGAATTTTAAGCTTTTCTAAAAAAAAAAAATCTATTTCCCATGCCCATTCACCTGCTCGTGGAAATGCCTTATCACGGAATTGACAAAAAGTTTTAGTTAATATCCTTCAGTTGAAAGGTTGTGTTTGTCTGGGATTAAGACTGCAGATCTGTGCCTTGTGGTCCTGGATACATATACATTGAGAGGAAATTCACCGGGCACCTTGTACAATTATCTGAATGCTTCACAGTCATTGATAGTTCATTATGTGATAAATCATAATTAGTTTTGAAGCATTGAATTTTAAGCTAGATTTTAAAAAAAATTTTCCTGTCAATTTGATTGGATAATTTTTTTTAAATTGTAAATTAATCTAATAATCTCTCTCTCAGCATATATATGTATGTTGAAATCCTTTCAATGCCCTTTGATTGGTGAATAAAATATCTTGAATCTTGTTTACTTAATTTATACGATACATTTTGGAAAAAGATTGTAACGACTTAAAAAGTTAAGATTGGCATTCAATAAGAGTATATATGTACCCAAAGATTTTAATACTCAATGTAGGACAATTTACATAATGATTTAAAATGCACAATATCAAATGAAGCAGCAGAAACTCTGAATGGTATTTACAAGTTACATTAGCCTTCCATTGTACGACAGCCATCAAAGATGCATAAAGTAACACGAGTGTTCATTCCCTAGAACTCAATAAGTCTATTATCTCCAAATTCCGATCATCAAATCCGATTAATTTTAAATAGATTTACACTGAAAAAGTCATTTCTGTGAGAACAAACTTCACATACTCTTAAGAGCTTGCACTTGAAAAAAAAATCAATTTACTAATTAAAAGTACACTAAGATCGAGTTTTTACATTATCTAGATTAAAGATTCAGGGGAGACAATTAAAAAAAAATCTTAAAGTGCAGATCTCTCGCATTAAGGACCTGCCGGAGGCCATATTTGGTGGATATTGCTACGAATGGCCTTGTTTTTGTTGATTATTCCAGTGCAGGGTTTATTTAATTATATTCCTTGGGCCGGAAAACCACACATGCGGGCTCTCGAGAACTCCGGCTTTTGTTTTAATGTTGACAAAAGAAGGCACTGACATCTGACGTTTTAACACCGACACAGAAAAGAAGCAGTTAGTTGTAATTCATGAAAAGTTCAATACACATCTTAACTGTTCAATACACACAGACTGACAGCATACCAAGATATTTAATGTTATCTACTTGAAGGGAGGTCCTTTAATAAGTTCAATACCTACACAAAACATACACTGTACTAGTGCACTAAGAGGTAAAGCATTCAGGAACTGGCATTTGGTACATTTATTGCACACATCTTTTCTTTTGTTTTGTTTTTTTTTTTATACAAGTTAAAGTTTCAGTTTAAAACTGTACATACAAGCTAATACCGTATAATCCCTATTAACCGCCCCTACCCCTATAAGTGCACCCTTAGGTCTTGTTCAGTTGTCAGGAAATAAGGGCCCCCTGTACAGTGATTAAAATCAACTAGAATCGTATCAAAAGTCCGCCATGATGAAGAAAGTGAAAATGAAACTTTGTTATTAGGTTACTCATACATGAAATATTCTTGAAAGTAAAAGATTTTTAGAACGACCTAATCATGTATTTCTGAAAGTGAAAGTTGAAAATACAAGTACAAAATTCTTCTCCTTAAGCTTGTCGATTCCCTAATTTCGAAGTGGGAAAATGTGCCATATAGCATAATTTGGGTGGATTATTGTAATTTAAAGGATTGATTGATTGATTATATATTTTTTAACGCCGAGTCGGCAATTTTTCAGCCATATTTCGGCGGACTATAAGGTTAATGGATAAGTGAAGTTTTTGGTTTCTCTGGGGGCCCCCAATGTTCTTTTTCGAACTCCAGAGAAGGTTAGACAGTTTTTAGTGGTTCTCTGTTATTGGTTTTTTTCTCAAAAGATTTCTTGAAGTTAAAATATAAAATTCAAAATTTGAACAAGAATATAAAAATAACCGCCCCCTTTCCGCAATTTTCTAAGCGCCCGGGGCGGTTAATAGGGATTATACGGTATGTGTCATTCCCAGAAAATTCTACAAAAGATTTGATGCACTTCTAGTTACCTCCCTTTTGACAGAGTTGCTCCCCCTTTATTCCCACTCTCTTTAGAATATATTGACAATGTGTTATAACAAATGATTCATATTTAATGGACTACTGACTGTCAGCATGTTCACACTGCTTATTGTTCAAGTTTTTATGTAAACTTGATAAAAAGTTAGCATTCCTAAATAAGACGACTTTCCCAGTGTTTATTTCCATTGTGTGGTTAGGCTATTTACACTCGTTTTATACCTGTAATTCAATTAGTCGCTGTGTTGTGGGGTTTTTTAATCGGGGTAGTCTTGCTTTCTCAGGGATCTCGCCGGTGACATCTCACCACAAAGACAAACTTCCACCATCTCCGTCTCTGCTCGTAGATATCTGTAAAATGTGTTATGAGAATCTTATTCAACTTCAATTCACTGGTATTATTTATATAAAAAAGAGCTTTTATATTGATCTAAACAATTGAAATGTACATGTGAAATAAAATGAAAAAATTTGATGCTGCTCAAAAGGTTTTGTTAAATGGGCAGGTATTTATGTTGGTAATGGGAATTCACTCAGTCTATTACATAGATTTTCTTTCACTCAGACCTGAGAAGGCAAGTCTGGAATTTAATATATCTATAATAATATGTCAGTGAGGGGAAAAAAAGAGATTGGTCAAATCTATTCTAGTGGATGCCTTTGAACTTTTTATCTGAACTATCTATTATGTGAAACTTTATATCCGTGTACATAAAGTTATGCTGTGAAGCTTCATAATCATGTTCATTTTGTTCTTATCTATCAGTGGATGGCCAATTAATATTATTATCATCATAAAGATTGATATTGGCGAGATAAAAATAAACAAATGCATCTTCTGATATTCCGTCTATAGACTCGGTGCTGGGGTCCATATAAACATTTGAGTTCCCCTTAGTCCTCGACTAAACTTGTGTATCATCCGAGTTCTTTGTTTTTACTAAATGGGTTTTTGATTTTCGCAATCATAACACAACATCAAACCCCTAGATAGCAATCAATATCTAAAGTCAACCCGAAGCCAGCATTTAACCAAATACACCTAATTATGGACTCCATATAAAACAATGCTTCCATTCTGCTTGGTGTGTAAATGAATTGATTAATTGTCGATGATTAGATACAGGTATATTGTTTCTGAGCTCATCACTTCAGACCTGGTGCCATATGACATCGTGGGAATCCATACCAGAACATCATTTTAAGCCTTTCTAATGCTTGCATACTTGAAGTATATAGCTTATTGTTTCAACCAAATTAATCTTATGTATTTGAAAAATCTGTTCATAGCTCTTGTCAATTTTTAAAAAGTGAAAAATGTCACATAGAAATCTAAACTGTAAAAGACTACAGTAAATTAAAATTGGCATTTACACCTAAATATTGAAAAATTATGGGTCTTTTTATACAAAATGATTTATCATTATATATAGTCCAGAAATTAAGTTGCAGAGTTATTTTATTATTTTGGGGAAGATAAACTTATGTAAATATTTGAATAGATATTTCTAAAACAAGCATTTTTAACAAATTTGTTCTAATCATTACTAAAATAAAATCATTATTTCATTAAATTGATTTTATAATACTTCAGTAAAATCTGATGTGGGGAAAGATTCAAGAATTCAAATTTGTCTCCCCCTCCCCCCGTTTCTGTTGTAACATTTTTAATGGAGAGGTACCGTATATAGTTCCGATCTTCCTGTAAATTGTGACGTCATATTCGTTTGACGCTCATGAGCAGAACTTTTATATTGCAAATTAAGGAAGTTCAACCCTTAAAAAATAAATTATGATTTTAGACAATAACTATAATACACAGCAAAATAACAGAAAGTGAATTCTTCATAATAACAATTTTTTAAAATATATATGCTGTATAAATGTTTAGAGTTGGAGAGGTAAATTCACCTAAACCTGTATTATACCTATGACAAAAAGGTGAAATGATGGAATTTAAACGCCGTATAAAGCCTGAGGCTGGAAAAATGCGAAGCGTTTAATCTAATCCAATCCATCACGGTTATATGAAGTTAGGTTTTAAATTCTTTCCCAATCAAACGATAGGACTGCAAACCTTTTGTCTCAGCAAGCCAAGAGTTTGTGGGAACAATCACCGTCCTTTTCCCGCTTGGATGACGCTGTATCTCCGTTACTGTTAGCGGTGTAACCTGAAACCGGTGCTCGTCCTCTGTGTCTTTCCCGGACCATTTGATACTATGTGTTTATAACGGTATACAAGACGGGGCTTGAATGCCTTATAAAATGAAGACAGTTACCTCGTAATCGCTTAATCTACAAAATGCAACTGTAAATTGAGAAATGATTCTTGATGAAGCATTAGATTCCACCACAAAATTCTAAATTAAAATGTGTAGGCCTATAACAAGTAAGGCAAATCGAATGGAACTTTGGGTCTTTGAGCTTCGCTAAGACTTTTTAGAAATTATAAATCAAAGTCGAATTGGTGTTGAAATTGCACGGAGCTCCGAATACCGAAAACTGAAACAATTGTTTCATCACGGACAAAACAAGAACTCCGCATACCTTTAAAAAAGAATAGTTTCCCCCGTGCTGGCCCCGTGGAATCATTGAATTGATTGGCTGGTGCCGATTAATTATTGATCAGGGTGCAATCAGACCTTTTTCAATATTCCAAAAGAACAATGCTACATCAAAAGCCATGCGAGCGAGTTTAACATGCCTTACGTGTGTTGGTTTGGGATTTACGTGATATTCGGAAGGAGCTATTGGGATTTCTTATGGCCGCTGAGGTAGGAATTGGTCCTTAAGGTGAAATTACCTCATACTTTATCGTGCAAGATAATCAGCTAATTGCGATAAGCATTCCCCTAACCATTCGTATACAGAGTCGGGGAATCTTCTCTCAGACTCCCAGGGCTGTTGGGGAACTAGCTCACATTGCGTATATGATTCTGGAACTAAGGACATCTTTACTTGTAAATTAAGAATACTCAATTGCCCTCTTGTGTGTTTTTTTTAAAGTTTTAATCAATAATATATAATTATGACGAGTTATGTCAACTGCGTGTGTTCGAGATTCTATCTGGTTTATATTGACAGATTCTGTATTCACTCTGCGCAAAAGAATCCATATAATTATCAAGGAAGCAAATCCCTAGCTATTTAGGAGGGGAAAATTGGTCAGTCTCAAGTAAACAGCGAGAAAAATGATTCGTCGATTTTAATGATTTTATAAATAAATAAATTAAATATCAACACTGCGCATGCATAAGTAATGAATGAAGATAGATACGCAGCGTCTCCCGCTAATTTACTCATTGACATATCTTACTTTGTGGCAATTTGGTGTTTCTCTTTCAAATAAGAAAACTTTTGTTAGACAAAATTAAGAAACTGTTTTTCTTTGAAGTGACATGGTACAATTTCTCAGCTAATTCTATTTTTAAATTAATGCAATCGCATACCAAAAATTTCCCCCCCAGTCGAACACTATCAGATTCTGTCTATAGGTCACGTTCATGATGCCTCTCCGCCTCCCACGTCCTAAAAAACCAAAAAAGTGAATCTATAGAGTTACGTGCAGTGACATTTATGTAGCGAAAAAGCATGTGAGAGTTTACTGTAATGTGTTATAGATTTTATGAATTATTAAATAATTTTTATGGTCAAGCAGATTTCGGCGTCACGTTCCGTGTAACAGAATCATTTACTGTATCGCCCATTCCAGGCACTCGTACCTTTATCCAAACACAAAGTGAGGGTCTGATATATTGGAAGGGTTTCTAGCTTTTTTTGATAGAGGGAGCTTTTTGATGATATTTGGGTACACGTTAAAGATGGGTTGGTAAGCTCTTTGTTTTTCACACAAATTTAAAGTCCATTAAAACTCATCGAAGCGGGTACACAAACCAAAATTTATAAAACTGCTCCTCGAGAATATGAATGTCTTATCGGGAAATTTAATCACTGTGTTGTTTAAGGGAGCTCGTTCTACCCCTCCCAAGACGGGTATGACTAATTGACGAAGCCGGGGTTACCCAGGTGGTGTAGCATTCGATCAGCTGAATTGGCCAGATTTAAGTGATAGCATAGGTAATACAAGATATCATCTACCGAAATCCTCCCGATTTTCCTCGCCGGCAATACAATGGATTTCAAAAGACATGCACCGCAAACACGTTATCTTTTGTAATCTAATGTAGGACATTCTTCTGATATTAATTGGCCGAATAAAGATAATTCAATCAATATAATGGTTTTGAATGAGATTAAAGGCTAATATTAATAATATTATACTGTCATGCAATTTCATAGTCTTATACATTTATTTATATCTCATGGTCATGGGAGAATTCCATTTCGAGCTGCACCGGAAGTAGGAGAAGATAATCCCTTTCGATCATCGCTAATCTGACTTTAACAAGTCCGCTGGGAAAGAATGTAAATAAAATCATTCCATTCGGATCACGGTTTGATAGATTTTTTTCCATTCAAAAATATACAGTTAAAAACCTAGTTAGTCGTCCGTAAAATAGTTTTTATTGGGTTTCCATGAATTAGCTTCATCTGCGATAAGCATCGGTCCAGATGAACGGCGAGGTTTTGATGACAATCGGCCATTCATAACATACTTTTTAAATTACTCAGTTTGGTGATAATCTTGTGCAAACTTTAATCGTCTTGATGCGCCCTCAGTGAGGACAAACTAGGGCCCGGCGGGACACGAATGAAGACTTTTTGACATAATCTAGTATTGATTGTCAAGACATGCCTTATCCGATAGATATCAACATGTCTTTAAAAGTCCGTCTGGATGATATTTCTTTTGTCGGGGAATATGGATATGATATTGACATACATATTAACACCTAAATTCCGTCTTTTTAGAGGAGTTTTGAGGCGGGCTTTGTCGTCCGGCTTAACGGCATGTCGCTAACTGAGATCGGGCCATCGAATGGCTTGATGTAAGGATTTCATATTGAAAAATGTTTGCTCTTATTGATCTTTTTCAGTCCTTTGATTGTTAAAATAGTTTTTAACGATAAGCAATTGTAGGCGAACCTCTAGGACATTATACCGACCCCATGCTCACTTCCTCTTCTATCGAATATACCGAGGAATAAAATCAGATTTTTTTTTAGGTCTTTTTGGCGAACGTTTCTGAATTCAATATCAGAAAATAATTCGTTCTTTGTCGATTTTCATTTCATGCTTTAAGCCTTGTATTTGAAATCACTTAGATTTGTATTCACTTTCTCGTACACATCTTTTCAATTATGTATATTCATACGCACGATGTTAACCATTCATTGAACATGAATATGATACTTTATGATATGCTCATTTTGTAACACAACTTGACTCGCCTAATTACGGATGATGGCCGAACAAAGTATATCTGCTTTGTACACACTTTCTTTATGGGGGATTTTTACCTGTTAGCACTTGTACATAAGTTGATGTAAGTGGAAAAATAGCGGAACAAATTTTCTATAAGCGTGAAACTGAACGCGCCCCAAGTACCTGCATTCTATAGCTTCTTGAGTTTTGTAAAGTGGCGGTCGTTTGAAGTGATGCCTCTGGTATTATCCGAACTCTAAGTCTGGCAGAAAACAGGGACTGGGCACTCACTAGGCACTGGCCAATAGTCATTTTAAAAGCATTGCTATGTTTACAAACATCTGCTCCGAATTTTTCACTCGTGATTACAATTTAGTGTGTGATATTAGGGGAATCTATTTATATACATGTACATGTATATAGGGAATTTATACATACAGAAAAATATTTTGTATCTTAGCTAACACATTGAGTTCCTACAACAAATTAGCAAAATTTAAATGTTATTAACGTTCTTTGTGGTCAAATATCGCCATTCCCTGCGTGGATTGTCTGTTACTTATCAGGGTAGCGTGTTGGTCCTCGAAATTCTTCCCCCAGTCGAGTCTCGGTCTCCACTCTCCATCAAACCACAAGAGTTCCCCCTGTCATCTGCAAGCTTTACAGAAACAATTCACTTCGGAATATATACACTGGAATGTGTTTGATAATTTTTTATCCCTCTCAAGAAAAGTGTGGGAAAATTCGGAATGTGGCATCATGTCTAAAAATAAACCCTCAAAGAATTAAAACCTGATATCCCATAAATACTGAGATTTTATCGCCCTTAATTTGTTGCATTACATGTACATAGATTTTGTATATTTTTCCTGCATTAGCGTGTAAGGAGCTCGCGGGCGGTCGCGATAATCAACGCCCAGTTTCTGATAGTGAGGGTTAGCGCAGCCTCAGCAGGGGCAGTTTATAGGTGACTTTTGACCTAATGACAGGTTTTGTGACTTTTAGTGACATTTCTTGGTGATGTTTTAAATATTGGAAAATCATTGTTTTCTAGGTATTTTGCCAGAATTTACTTTTTACAGAATTAAGTTTTTGTACTGCTCACAATTTTTTTGTTAATTTGACTTTCAGCATTTCTTCATATTTCATAAACAGGTATAGGACTGAAGCTGATGTGTTGTTTATTTAAAGAATTACAGTCAATCGAAAATTTCTTTTTTTTTCAGAAAAATTATTTGTTTATTAACCTGCCCTGCTAAGAAATGACATCGCCCTCTTGTGTTGATATTTTGTCTGAACGTTTCAGGGGGTGCCATGGTTTAAAAATTGTCAAACTAAAGCAATAAGTTAATTGACATTAATGGAATCATATTTGTAAACAACTGTTTTAAACAAGGCGAGATTGTGTCTGATCTGGCGATTTTTCCGTTTTGCGGCTATCACTAATATCAGAACACATACTCGTCCCAGGATTTCTTATTCATAACCCTCTTCTTCTACACGCCGTCTTTTTAAACCATCGTGTTAGAGATCCAAACATTCCGATGGTACCCGCATTGTTTTAAGTATCTGGTCCACATTTCGAACCATTTATCAAATTATCGCCATATACTATTGCTTTACTTTAAGTCAACTTTCTGACTAGAATTGGCTCGCGGTACCATGTAAAAAATTGTTTCATTCTTGACATTTTTTTTTTCTTCAGAGCCGCTTTGGATTGGTGAACTTGACAGAAAGGCACGGGAGACGAGGAAGGGAGTAAGTGATTCCACTTTTTTTTAATATCCTGTGCTTATCATTCACTATGCAGTTATTCCTCATGCCTTCGTCGGAACCAAAAAACTGGTTCTTTTTTAGCAAGATTATCACAGCGCGGATGTTCCTCAACAGTCAAACCTTGACATATTTACTCTGCTAAAATACAATGTCCATATGTCAAATGGAAGCCATATGCTTTGTCACGGACCGGCTTCTTCGCGCGTGGGAATGTTTTTAAGTAGAGATATGTGATACTCTTGGCTCGCGTGCGCGTACGACGCATAGTAAAAGTGAAGTCACGTGTTCTCAATGAAAAAATTTGCAAGAACAGCTTCTTGAAACGCGCATCTCCTCTAACCAGTTCCAAATTTGTTGATCTGCCGAACGATTAAATGCTGCGTCTTTAAAATGTGCAGAGATTTTTGAGATTTGTAAATTGTTGACTGGGAGCGCGTGCCGTGGTATATGGCGCGG